AGAATTCAAAAACCATTATGGCTGAATGTGTGGGCAACACAGTCTAGACAGTTGCCTGTTTGATATGCCTTCTTGATGACTTTATGCTGTTTCTCTTCACTCTCCATCGTGATCTGCTTTACAATCTCTGTGGTCAAAAAGGAAATGACACCGAAGGTTAGGTAACACACATGAACACACAAAAATAAAACCCAGAAGAAATGGTAATCACTAAGCAAATTTTGACCAGGGTGAGCAATAAAAAGCGCAGATGTTTGTGAATGTGATGGCCGAGTGTTGTCTATTACATAAATGATTGGCTTAATTGCCCAGCTAATGACTTTTTCCTCTTCTGATGCATTCTGCTATTTCAAAGGATGATCCATTGGTAATAAATTCAACGATGTAGGTCTTAATGGCCATTTTGTTGATAGCCTTTGATTAATACCAGTAACTGAACAGGAGCAGGCAAGGGGTGGCCATTAGCTTGCTTGGTCGTGAGTTATTTGTGCGTGTGTGTATTTTAATGATTTTCATTATTCATGGATCTTCCTAGAAAAGATTCGATTCATTTCTGGTTGTATTTTATGCTAGATTCTTAGGCTCTGTTCTTGTGCACTCTTTATTTTAGTTTGAAATAAGATTGATATATTTAGTGCCGTACAGTATCTACTTTATCATTAGCGCATGTGATTACGTAAATATCTGAAATGTATAGATAGTTAAAATTTCAATGAATTCAGGATAGAATAAAGTCTTTCACATTCACTTCAGCTAGAGCAAATTTACTTTATTTTGACCTGAAATAGGGTTGACATATTAAGTACTGTATTTTCTTTATTAATAGAGTACAAATATGTGTTTACATAAACGTAGGTAAAAGGATGGTAATAAGTCTGTCAATAATTTAATCTACAATAAATACAACTGTTTTACTATTAGAGCAAGTATGGTACTTTATTTTAAGTTGGCATAAACTAACTACTGTAAAATACTTTATTTTAGCTGGAATTAATTTTCACTGAAAAGACTGTTTAGATGTTTTGTATGGAATTGATTTTCACTGATTTTTGGCAACTCGAATTTAAAATATAGAAAAAAAGGTATATTTGCTGAACTTTATTTTCAATGAATCATTCTTTCAGTAAAAATAGCAAAAATTAATTCCAAGCAGAACTTTATTACAATTCAGAAATCTGTGAATATTTTATTTATCTCTATTAAATGTTATATGAATTTCGAATGATACTTAAAAACTTCACCAATCACAATGCCTTATAATTACTAGTAGCAGAAAATTTCTATGGAAAATGAGGCATATTCTTAGTACTTTTCGATAACCCACCAAGATGCAATATGGTCTCAACTAGTATATGTATCAACCAACAAAAATATTATGTCATTATGTTCAGTGAATGTATCAAATAAGTTGAGAATTCTGGAAAATATGCAGGAGAGTGTGGAGTTATTCCATGTAGTCATTTAATGGTATGTTGATGTCAGGAGCAGAAATAGTTTGTTCTCAGCACCCACCTGTCTCTATCAATTAACAATATTAAGGTGGCTCTATACAGTTTTACACAAGTCTATAGAATTTTTCTATATTTTGTGAATAGATATTACTATTACAAGGTGGGGGAGAAAATGAGGGTACCATTACTATGGGGGTTGTTAAACACAGCCCAATCTTTTGATTTTTTTTTTAAACTTGGGTTAATGAAACAATGCATCTGAAACTACATTTTGGAAAAAATAAACAATTGTATGTAACTATTTGTAAAGATGTGACAACTTCAGTAATGGGCAATACAGAACATGTTCTTGCACAAAAAACCCTCCATGACCACTTTGAACCCACCATGTTTGGGAAACTGTATTAAGCAACCTTAATGTTAGTATTTGTCAAATTAGTTACAAAATGGTGATATACTGACTTTTTAAACTGGTTTATATAGCAGTAAATGCTATTATTTCGTATTGAGTTTTAGAAATTTATTTACTTCAGTGTTGTCTTTGTGACCACCTAGTGGTGGCTTCTGCCTAAACTTTTGTTTTTCTTGCGTGTTGCCTCATGTTTATAGTATGGGTGTTTTACGAGAAACTTTAGTTATGGTTTGTGCTTTTATTGATGGTTTATTCTCTCATTAAATGAAAGTTATTTTTGAAGCCACTATGTTTGGAATTCTGCAAGCATGGCTTGAACTAAGAGCTAAGGACACAGAATATACGTAATATCAAAGAGCATCAAGAGAAACTCAATTATTTTAAATTAATCTTGATAATCATAGCTGCTCAAGAGCATGATGGGAACTTTTTTGATTACTGTAAAATACTTTATTTTTGCTGAACGAATGATTCAGTGAAAATAAAATCCAGCAGATATACTGTTTTTCTTAAATTTTACATTCAACTCTCAAAAATCAGTGGAAAAAATTCCACCCAAAAGTCTCTCAGCGAAAATTAATTCCAGCTAAAATAAAGTATTTTACAGAAGATTTTTATTTTCCGCTGTTGTAACGAGTGGATACGATATTAAACTTGTATGAATTGTATTTTTATTTATTCTTGTCCCTCACTGTATGTACATTAATAACAGATTACTTTATTCTGGAGTTGTACAATAAAGAATTTCTATGCTGAAGCTGGTTTGATAACATGTAAACTGAAAATGTAATATTAGTATTCCTTATTCTCATACCAATTTGATCTCATTGCAAAAACTTAATTAGGTACAGAGAATGGTAGGGGGTTCTCTATGCTTTCTTACAATGTTACAATTACAAAACAGTATCCATGCGTTACTTATAGTATGGATAGCAACACATGGGGGATACTGACAATGTTATAGTGAATGATAGTTAACAAATGGTTTCTTATTGGTCTGTTTTGCTTCCTGACGTTTTTAGAAATGCTGGCATGGTTTGTTGAATGTATCATGCCCTAGTTGCGGGCCTGAATTGGGCATCGGAAGTTGGTCATTATCAACCATCGCTGAGGGCCCTCACGAGTCAAATTGACCAGAAACGGACACAGTATCAGTTCTCTTGCTGGGGTTCTGGCTTATCTTAAAACGGTCCGGTGACAGTTGATAGGTTGTGTGTGGCATTGTTAAGAACTATACAAAGTGACCGTACTTTGAAAGGAGGTATCTGTCAGCGTGAAGCGAACGTTGAAATGGATTCCCTTGAGTGGGTCCTGAGAAAGATAAATTGTTAAACATAAAGAATGTTTGATAACGAAGAAATTTTCTCACTTTGAAATACATTGGATAAGTTAATACCCACTTAGATATATTATTAAATGACTTTAACAAATTGTATGCGAGTAAGTGTTCACGTGCTTAATACACTGTGTCATATTAAATGTTGGTTCCATGCGATGTAATAAATTTTGTAATACATATGTAAAATACAGTTTATCTCAAGAATATTGCTTACTGTGCGACTTCTGTAGCATGTTATCATGTTTGCTATAATAGCAGCATCTGTGTTTTATAATATACCGCTAATAAACAAAGGTCAGTTAATGGTTTAGTGTACAATACAGGCAATTTAGGTTTGCATGTGCTTCTAAAAGAGCAAATACTTGGTGCATTGATCTTGATGCATATTTCAATGAACACAAACGCTTTTATGTACTACTTAAAATTTTAAACCAAAGATAACAATTAATGTTTTTCTGATAGTTTTGCATCGCTGATTAGTCCACCAGTGCCATGTACTTTTATAATGACTTGACCAGAATATATTGGCATAATTGTTCAACATAACAATGACGTTGTTTTCACTAGAAACAGATTGTTGTCTTAATATAATTGATAAAATACTGTTTTAATGACAGCACTACCACCACAACGACTCGTGCTTATATTGGGTTTGAGGCTGCTTTCAGCCATCTACATGATTTTGTCTGTAGAGGGCGCAATTTATTAGAATGGCATATAAATTGTTATATTGGTAGTGTTTGCTGCTATGAAATAGAACTGATTGCTGAGCTTCCACTGAGGATAAGATAGTTTTTAGCCACAGTGGCTAATACTAAATTGGTTTTTGTAGCAAAACTCAAACTTGTTTAGTCACTTCAGAAATTGGAGAAATTAAAAATCACAAAATTCGTCTGATTTGTGTTGGTACTGTACTGTACTGTACTGTAACATACTATTACATAATATCAGTATGATTTCCTGATGTTCAATTTACATTTACTGTGACTATTTTTGCATTTATAGTTTGAAATTATACTTCTAGCTATTCATTGGTGAAGGAATAGTTGCAGCTGAGAATGGCCTACAGGGCCTGCTGTTTGAAATTGTCTGCTTAAATATTCTTGACCCCTGACTGGTGAAATTTGTGAACATTTATCTAAAAGTTATACATACATGTACTGAGTATACCAAATACTGACTATTTAATGAAAAAATATAATTATTAATGTCATTGTTTCATTACTGTAAAATACTTTATTTTAGCTGGAATTAATTTTTGCTGAAAAGTCTATATGGCTGTTTTGTATGGAATTTATGTTTCCTAATTTCTGACGAGTTGAATGTGAAATATAGGAAAAAAAGTATATTCGCTAGATTTTATTTTCACTAAATCTTTCCTGCAGCGAAAATAAATTATTTTACAGTACTTGTCAGTTAACCTTGGTAATGCCAGCTAGAAAAAGTACACCAAATTTACAGTTGTCGATTAATGGTCTTAAATGATTGTAAGCGCATGTTTTTATCATGCATAGTGATAATAAATAAATAGTATATTTTTGTATTTGAAGAGTTGAATATGGGTCATATTTTACTGTAGATTCAAAAGGATCACACGTTTACTAGAACTGTATTAACCTTCGCTGGCATTAACTGTATTTACCTTCGCTGGCATTAACTATTAACCTTCTACGGCCTTAACTGTATTTACCTTCGCTGGCATTAACTGTATTAACCTTCTAAGGCCTTAACTGTATTAACCTTCCAGTAAAGTAAATTTTATTTGAAATTACAATTTATTTTCTGTTTTCCTCAACAGGAATGGAAATGGACACAATAGATCTATTACAAGTTATAGGATATCCTCTTCCTGGAGCAATTACGTTCACAAAAGGAATGTTTGATTTTCCAGCGTTTCATTTTAACGGGGAAGCAATAAACATGGGAAGAGCAGTCCATACATTTTTCCCAGAATTCTTTTTTAGAGATTTTGCCATTCTGGCTACAGTGCGATTGGGCAGTGAAGATGGTGGACTGTTGTTTTCTGTTACAAATACATTTCTGTCCATAATACAGTTGGGTGTGAATATTTCCAATGCTGGCAACTCACAGACAAAAATTTCGCTACTGTACACAGACGATCGGGAGAGTTCAAGTACACAGGAAGTAGCTTCATTTATTGTGCCAGTTTTCACAAAAAATGGATGCGGTTTACTATAGCTGTAGAAGACAACACCGTGACATTGTATTTTGATTGTGAATATTGGGACTCTGTGAAGATTTCTAGAACTTTCAATGATTTGAAATTTGACAATAATGTCGCTATTTTTATTGGACAAGCAGGGGGTAATCTAGAGCAGAACAATTTTGTGGTAAGTTTTTTTTTTTTTTACAACTTTCATCTACAATAATGCACATCCGATGTGCATTATTATATGACTGAAGTACAATAATGCAAATATGAACTACAATAATGCACATCTGATGTGCAATATTATATGACTGAAGTACAATAATGCAAATCTGAAGTGCAATATTATGTGACTGAAGTACAATAATGCACATCTGAACTACAATAATGCACATCTGAAGTGCAATATTATATGACTGAAGTACAATAATGCAGATCTGAAGTGCAATAATGCACATCTAAAGTGCAATATTATGTGACTGAAGTACAATAATGCAAATATGAACTACAATAATGCAGATCTGAAGTGCAATATTATATGACTGAAGTACAATAATGCACATCTGAAGTGCAATATTATGTGACTGAAGTACAATAATGCACATCTGAACTACAATAATGCACATCTGAAGTGCAATATTATGTGACTGGAGTACAATAATGCAGATCTGAAGTGCAATATTATATGACTGAAGTACAATAATGCACATCTGAAGTGCAATATTATATGACTGAAGTACAATAATGCACATCTGAAGTGCAATATTATGTGACTGAAGTACAATAATGCAGATCTGAAGTGCAATAATGCACATCTGAAGTGCAATATTATGTGACTAGTACAATGTTTATTTTTTCAAATGACATGATTTCAGGGTGGAATCCAAGATCTGAAAATAGTTCCAAATCCAGAGGTTGCTGAGACATACTGTGAAAATGAACAACTTGGAGATGAAGTTGTGGTAAGTAAAACATGATTATTATGTGAACATTGTGAAAATATATATGTGGGGTCAGTTGAGGTGGAAATGATAGTCCATCAGTGATGCATTTACTGGGATTATTCCAGACATTCAATTATTGTATAAGTAACCCTTAATGGTTTACTTACATAAAAAAGTCTAATGTTTTTGGAAGGAAATATCAAATTTACCATTTCGTTATTGGTTTTACATTGGTCCCATACTGATAGTACTAGTAATGTATTTCTGCATATCTCAATTTTTATTGGCGACATTTGCTCAGAAACTATTATCAGTACAAATTTTGAAAAACAATTTATCTAAATAAATAAAAAAAATTGTTGAATTGGGAATTTTCTCTGATAAAATATTTAGCTCAGACATACAAAAGAGAGGATTACAAAGGACAAGCCATTTTAGACACTTTCAACAACAAAATATAAAATCTCATCAGTCTTACTTACTACTATTCAAAGTAGAGCTTTTTTACCACTGGAATCACAATGCCCATCTTTAAGGGTATGCAAATGACACAACTTTGTTGTACTTGTCTAATTGTGCTTGCAAATTTCCAGAATAATGCTGTGACAGTATGGTTGTCTTGTTCAAATCTGTAATGCAACCATGGCTTTTACACTAAATTGGACATTTTGTGTTTCAATTCATAAAAAAAAAAAATCATGTTCCTGGTCAGGACTCGCATAAATTAAAAGCTTTTGCGTGCTAAGAATTTTAGAAGTCCAATTGAGCAAAAGTTTTTGTTTTTAAAAACTGCTTCAGCACTAACTTTATTACTGCATTTCACTCCAACTTATTCTCTTGCAGCAAAAAAGTTTAAAGGTCACAGGTCAAACACTAACCTTTAACCTTTGCTTCCCCTTCCACTGCATTCTCTCTCTCACTGCAGTCAGGTTCAGGTGATGGGGACGAGGATGATTCCGTCACCAAGGAAACCAACACTGAAACAATCCTAACCACGGCTTTACCTCGTATCACTCATGTTTCTCCAACGCGGGTGCCGGTAATCCCTCAACTTTCATTTTCACTTCATACTTCAGCAATTTAATTTAATTTAATTTTATTTTATTTTAATTTCTGCATGCTTATTTATACATTTATTTATTCTGCATTTATTTGTGCATTAACTGGCTGTAAATTGTAACAATGCTTGTATGCATGATTATTATTTAAGACTAAAATTACAAAGACAATTACATAACAATTAAGTTACAAAGTTGGGGCTCTTCCCCAGTATTTAATGCACATAAAATAAAATCCATGTGCAATCCTGCATATTATGTATTGCACATATATGTACATATATTATAATGCAGTACCATTGTTTACTTACCAACATCAACATTTATATGGGATTCAGTCTGCATGGCACAAATGACCTCCCTTGTCAAAATTCTGTGTTTTATTTTTAAACTGCCTGTCAGCTTTTTTTTTTTCGTTTTGACATTTACAGAACTTACATTTTCAGTTTGTCTCATTGATTTTATTAAGTTACATCATTTTCAATTCCCATTTCCATGGCAATGACATCCAACGCCACTTTCATCATCACCATTATCATCATGCGAGAGTTAACCGCACTGGGCCAGTTACTTATTTATACTGCAAAAAATAAAATAGACAAACCTGCCATTATAAGGATAATCAGTACAATCAAATGACCCCTACTTAGTTTTTGTACTGAAGAACTTTTGGCTATAAAAGAGTAAAATAAAATATGCCCTTAGTTAAACATGTACCCCACTGTGTTAACAAATCTGTGGCATTCTAAAGAAGATCGGAAGTACCTCTTGTTGCAGTCCTCGTCATACACTTTAATTACCCGCTAGAGCTTCGTGTATTTATTTCTTTATAAGAGCATTTCCCAAATTTGACAGGCGATTAATGGTTGTGAACCGTGGTGTTTTGAATACAAGCACATTTTGTTATGAATTCAATGAACTTCGGCAGAGTCTTGCCATACATTGAGGCAAATGTCCTTATTTGAATTATCAGGGACCATCTCAAAATGTTGTTGCAACTTAAAATTTCTCTACCGGTACTTGCCGTTTCATTATTTTGTCTCTTGATCTGTTTTTTTGCCGAATGTTATTTATAAAAAATAACATTTCAACACTGGTTAAATTATTGCCAGGCCAAACAAAATAGTTTACCTTTTAACCACCAGATTTTCGCGCCCAAGTGTTTCTGGTCTTTTATCTTGTACATGTATTCTGTGTTCATGTGCAATATTTCTGGAAATGAACCCTAATTCAGTCAATTTTCAATTTTATTTTAATTTGGCTATTTTTGTCCCAATTTTCATAAGAAAAGTGCAGACTATAAACAGGACTATTTTGTGAATTTGTGATGAAAAGAGATAACTGGTGGAGAGAAGGTTAACAATGTTAAACTATTTGAGCCCAAAAGTCAATTCTTGTTCACTTTCCCAAAATAAATTTCATATTTTTTTGTCAAAATGCTGATATTTGGCCCAAAAATAATATTGTAGACAAAATCCTTAAGACGGGCAAAGTATTGCGTCAAGATGTTAGCAACAACAATTATAGTGCAGGTTTTGCAGGTATTGATATTTTTTGTTGAGCAGTGAGTGTGTATTCTAAAGAATTGACATCACTTGTATAAAGTTTATTTATGAAAGGATAAAAAGTGCAACATTTTGAGATGGCCCCTAAATGTGTTTGAATGCATGGGTACTTTTAATGCATGAGGTCAATCAGCACTGTACTTTGTGCTACTTCTATTTAAAGGTGTACCTCTTGTATCTCTGTCCTTTGCCGCATGGCAATGTTAACTGCAATTATCCTACTTGTGTTAATGCAATGTCACGATGCTCTTCTACAGATATCCGGTAGCGGTGATGGCGATGGTGATGTCATTGACATTCCTGGCACCACCTATCCGGGATTAAAACCGGTAAGTTTTGATTATGCTGGTCTGTCTCTGTCTCTCAGTGTGGTATACGAGATAGGTCAGCTTTGTTGGTGTTTCGCACCGTTGTTCTGTCAGTTGATGCTTTTCACATATTCAGTGAACTCGATTGAGCGTGGTTGATTAATAACCCCCAAGTAATAGTGGTTGGATTGCGGTGGCCTTAAACTTGAGAGTACAACATACGTGTATGTGTACTCTAACGTTTGGTGTGTAACATTTGATTTCTATTAGCTTTAATGCTTTGCATTCCTATAAGACAGATTCAGTGATAAAACCACATCTATTGAAAAGCATCATTCAGACTCTGGAGCACGGTAACCCAGAGTTTTATATCATACCATGGAGGTGAAAGTTCTTTTTTACCTCCATAAGCATACTTTTTTTTTCAATTAATTTGTTATGCTTGTTCTGCAATCCCCTTTTACAAATCCCTCAATTTTATTTATAACTGAACTTGAATGCATAATGTAAACATCCACCACAGTAATGGGATAATGCTTGGATATTTGATATTGTATACAAATTGATTTATAATTACCCCTCCCCCCCAATGAATGAGAAATGTCTTTACAGGTTTATATCTAGGTATTTGGGGAGGTTTTTTTGCAATTTTAATTCAAAGTTTCAAATCATTCTCAATTCGTATTTAGTTGTACTATTAGGAGTTTATATGTAGCATTAGACAGATTATGAGTTTAGCGTACATGGTAGGATACTTAGAAGTGAATGAGGAACACATTTTGGCAATAGTAGTGTACTTTCCTTAGGGCTCTCAAATTGTGGTCACAAAGAGTTGCAGATACCCTTCACATAACTGTATCTTTCTAAGCTCAATCTGTTTATCATTTATCCAACCAAACTGGGATGAAATAAATCTGCAATGCTGATTTCAAAAACTACCAAGAAATTGACCGTTTGTGGTTGTACAAGTTATTGTCAATAAATAACTTTGATCAAAATGTTGAGAATTGTAAAAAAAAGTATTTTTTCTCTGTTTTCCCAGATATTTTTTACAATGCTAACTAATTGCACATTTGTATTAACACTAGAATCCTGCACATGTGCTACGATTCTGTTAGCTAAATGATTCATTTTTCAACAGTTGTTCTTTGTTTATACAACCTCTTGTCGGCTTCCTCAAACTATGACCTTTAATCTTTGTTTGTGTAAATTGTCTCTTTTCCTGTAAACGAGATTGACGACAATCTGTTAATGATGTTGAGAAAAGTAACTTTTCGACCTGTGGTGCCGTTCGTTTGTTGCCTAACCAGCATGTCTGCGTCGCTAGATGCAAGGTTTACTCAAAGATTTGTTAGTGTGTCAAGGTGAAAAATATTACACTCTGTCAATATAACGTGATTAGATATAGATGAAGCTGTAGATAATACTTGGGTCAAGTATTTTCAAGTGCATAATGGTTTGTCTCTAATGTATATGCACTTACAAACTTAGCTTATTTATCTGAACATTGATTTATCTAAGCTTCTGATTAATATTCATGCAGCCATTAATTATCTGCACGTACATGAGTGAACTACGCATATATTAATGAACTGCGCATATATTAATGAACTACGCATATATTAATGAACTGCGCATATATTAATGAACTGCGCATATATTAATGAACTGCGCATATATTAATGAACTGCGCATATATTAATGAACTGCGCACAAGGGATATGTGCACATTAGTATTATTTATATGTGATTTGCACATACAATGTATATTAATGATCTGTGTATGCATGAGTGGGGGACCAATGGGGTAAATGTCTGATATTTTCTGGGGGAAAGGACAAGCCTTGCAACGAACAAAATGTCTACCTTGCAGGGAAAATGAACTGTATGCATGAGTGAGGGACTAACATGATAAATGTAAATGTCTGATATTTTCTGAGGGAAAGGAAGTGACCGGGACAAGCATGGCAATGAACAAAATGTCTACCTTGCGGGGAAAATGAACTGTATGCACAAGTGAGGGACGGATGAACGAAGTAAATGTGTAAATGTCTGATATTTTCTGGAGGAAAGGAAGTGAGCGGGACAAGCATTGAAACAAACCAAATGTGTCGCACTTTTTCAACACATTGGTCAGTGGAGTCTTCTTCACTGACCCTGAATCTGTATAGCCTTGTTTTAATGTATTACACCTGCTATTCAGATTCCGGGGCCACCAGGGATACCAGGTCTGCCGGGTGTCCCAGGAACAAAAGGAGAACCAGGAAACGATGGAATACCAGGAAAAGATGGAGCACTTGGCCCAAAAGGTAACAAAAATTACTTGTTTGATAGTTGACAATATTGTAATGAAAGTGCTCTCAATATTCAGTTTTATCTGTGCTACTGCATACTGTATTCGCTCTATTAAAAGCTTATTATCTACCATACAATTCAAAATTTGCATTACTCTATGCTGTATCATTAAAATACTGTAAAATGACTAATTTTCACTGGGTTTAAATTTCACTGATTTACCATTTCAGGCATATTCAGTTTAGATAATGTGTTCTATGCTAAATTTTACATATTCACTGTGTTTTAATTTAGCGCATTTTTCCAGTCAGCGAAATAAGCTAAATTAAAACCCAGTGAATAATTACCCCCTTTACAGTATGATTATTTTGACCAATAGACAACTTTAACCCATATGTATTTGCTACTGATAGACAGAATACACTACTGTAGAATAATTTATTTTACCTGAAATTAATTTTCGCTGAAAAATTTTTTTTGGGTGTTTAGTATGGAATTTATTTTCACTGATTATTGAAAAGTTTAATGTAAAATATAGGAAAAAAGGTATATTTGCTGAATTTTATTTTCACAGAATCATTCATTCAGCAAAAATAAATTCCAAGCAAAAAAGTATTTTACAGTATTTGAATGACCTTTTCACTGATATAGTCTTAGGAAATAAAGCTCAATAAATCAAGAAGTGTCTGTATTAAATTACTTCTTGATTTGACTGTGGAGATTTGCAAAATGACTACAATTTTTGTAAAATTCTTTTGTAAATCTTAGAAATAGATTTTTGCCTATAATTTAAATATCACAACCCCTTGAATGTTACATTTATCCCCTACCACAAATTCATTGTTAATGTTGGTCAAAATATCAGTGAACATAATTTTCCATTTACTGTAGGTCTTAATTATTGATTTTTAGCTCTGCTTTGTCATGATATCTTTAATTTTCTAATTTAGATGAATATTTTTGTCATTTTGGGGTAAAAAGTAATTTTTTTGACTTCTTGTTAAAAACCGCATATCTAATTGCTTTGATATTGTACATATAGGTGGACCTCTCTCAGATTTGTTCATTTTGTGATAATATCTTCAATTCTCTAATTAATATGTGCATTGCTAACAATAGGGCAAAATCCGGCAAAGACGCTGCATTATTTTATTTACAAAAAAATTATGCAAGTTCAATTTTGTGAATTTTATAACCCAAGATGATTTTTTGCATTCAAAGAGTATCCACTACACATGTACAAGCTGACTGCCATTGAATAACACTGACACATTTCAAAGACTATAACTATCATACAGTACCATGCTCTGAGCCTCTGTGTATTGAAATTGACAACTATGAGTAATGTGTATGTTTATTTCAAGCGTCAATTTAGTCTAGACTTGTAAACTTGTGTGATGGACTGTCGGCGTTATACTATGAATAAAGTAACGATACAGTTTACAGTAATTAGGGAGAAGTACTACCATAGTATTACCCCCGGTACTTTAATGCTTTGCATACTGATGCCATTTTCCCCCCATTCATTATACCTATCCATGGAGGCTAGTATATATTTTATCCAAACATTTCAATTTTGATTGTAATTAACCTTTTCGCCACCATCTTTTCATCACAAATTCACAAAATATTTTTGTTTATAGTCTGCACTTTCCTTCAGAAGACTGGGACAAAAAATAGCCAATTCTGAGTAAAAACTGAAAATTTACTCAAATTTTGTCTGTTGACTTTAAAATTAGGGCTCATTTCCAGAAATATTAAAGAATACAAGGAAAAAGTGCTGACAAATTTGGGCAAGAGAGTCTGGTGATATGGGAATATGGTAACAAGATTTGAATGATCATTTGTTACTTTTGGTTTACCAAATTCATTACTATTGTTCTTTTTTAACCAGGTGAACCAGGACTACCAGGAGTGTCATTACCTGCATTACCGGGAGAAAAAGGTAAGTTGATCTACCAATCTCCATCTTGAAATAACTACATGCTGTTTTAGCGAATCTGACTTCATTCATGAACCTTTGAGTCAATTTCACTGTGGTACATGTAACACGACCAGTGTCTGAGAGATTTTTTTGAGTGAAGTTTTTTAATATAAAATCCTCATTGTGAATTTCCCTAGCATGGAAAATTAAACAGTTTACTGTAAAACAAATACACATAAGTAGTGATGCCTTTGTTCATGCTCGATACATTTACCTACATTGAGGGCCAAGATCGATTCTCATTGGTTGTGAAGCTACAAAGTAGCAGTACGCATTGTATTCTTCACTTCCTATGTGTAACCATGCGCTCAGTTCTATTGGTGTGACCCAGGCAAAGAGAGTATGTAATGTAAACCAGCTTGACCAGTGATTAGATATGGTTAAGTACAGCTTCCTTTAATGCCCCGTTTTCAGTTTATTGTGTATTGTACGTAAAAAGATTAAAATCTCTCTGCTCATTGAAGTGTGCAATACTCGGTCTGTACGCCAATAATTGTTATGGCATCACTATGTGCTATCCTACATTTTATGTACGAGTTGACATTTAACTGAATGCAAGGCTGCCCCCTTTGTGTAATCTTTAGAAACTAAAGCTAGTCGGTGTTTTGGATTAACGAGTTGGGAACAATAGCAGTGTGGAGTGCCCCAGGCTTTTTTTTTTTTTTTTTTAGGAACTCTCCATGTTTTAACTTTTAAGACCATTTAAAAATATGTAATTTCATTAACCAGTATTCATTTCTATAATCATAAAATAACTGTAGATTTATTTAGAATTTATTTTTTTAGCTCCGCTGTCGTGGTGATATTACTAATTGTCCATTTTCCCACGCTATATTTTACTTCCACTTGAAAACCACAAGCCCAATTGCTTTGATACTTAAGTTTCTTTGGTTGGTCCTGTTTAGATTAGTTCATTTTATGATGACATCTTCAAATTTGAAGAATATTTTTGAACGTTTTGGTGATATTTTTGACATTTTCTTGACAAGAAATCAGCACAGTTTTTGTGACATGCATGTTAGTATAACACCGTCAGTATTGGTTCATTTATATGCGCATTTATAATTAATATACTTTTTAGTGTCTGTCAATTTTGCTAAAATTGTGTGAATTATAGAGCACGTGCATATAGTTTCTTATCATTCTCTCAATAATGTCTCAATAATTTTCCCGTCCAAAATTCAGTGCAAATATTTTTCATATTTTGTCAACATTTTATCAACATTTTATGTGGGATAAGCAGACTATACATAATCATTTTGTAGGTGGTGCCAAAAATTAGCAGTGACATTCAAAGGGTTAAATTCACTTAAAGCATGAACTGCGACAAAAAATTTAAAAAAATTGGAGCCTAGCTGGTTACTGGTAAATTTGACCAAATTTTATGTCATAAGCAGTTCAACCTGAAATAAATGAGAGGGAGGCAATTATCACAATCTTTTGTTGTAAAAATATTACAAAATTAGAATTTTTTTTTTCTACCCAGTACAAAATATTTTGTTGTCTGCAAACATGCAACATTTTTTCATAGGAATTCATGTTTATTTAAAAGCATTATGTGATGAAAAATAAATATGACTGTAAAATCTGTATTAGAAGCCGCGGCTTCTATTAGAGCATCAACACATATGAGAAATGATAAATTTTAGGTTCTCAATTATTCAGAAAAGAATGGGTGCGACTTCTATTAGGGATGCAGCTTCTAATACAAATTTTACTGCATTCGTTAGTTTCATGATAATTTAGGGTAAACATGTATATCCATTGTATAACTATATTATGATTTTGTCGCCATGGTAAATGAAATTTTGAGATCTGACAAAACTGTTTCTCTACCAGAACTAGCATGTGGAAATTAGTTTGGCGACAATGCTTTTATATCACAGATTTTAAGAGCGGCGGAACAAAATAAAAAGCCATACACCCGGTAGTTAAAATCAAGGAAATCTGGCGATAAGTTTTAATTGCAGTAAACTCCATGTACCTTAAACTGCATATACAATCCCCACTCTGAGAAAACCTCAAAGTCTGTGTTTTTGTGGATTGGCAAGCCTTGTTAGGTAATTTTGCTGTATTGCCAGGTTTGGTTAGAAGTTTGTGTTTGCTTAGAAGTAGTTCAGTTTGACCTTGCTCTAAGTAATCCCTCAAAAACAAGCATTGTTGCCTCTATATATCTCAGATAGCTGCCAAAATCTTATCGATTGTGGGAGAGCTGCTTGATTGGATACTGTAAATGCATTTATTATTCACTGGATTTAATTTTCGCTGAAAAGTAAAATCCGCTAAATTAAATCTACATGAACATGTAAAATAACAATAAAACTCGTGGTTTCTTTGACAAATTTGTTAAAATTAAAACAAAGTGAATATGCATGCTTAAAACATCAAAAATATTGAAATTAAGATACAGTACTACATTGAGCAAAACAAAAATGTTCATTATTTACGTTATTTACGTCACTCCATTAAATTTCTTATTTTCAGGTGCTCCTGGAGACCCTGGTTTGCCAGGACCGGAAGGTCTACAAGGTTTGCCAGGTGTTGCCGGACCACCAGGATCCCCTGGAGCTCCCGGACTTGATGGAATTGATGGATTGCCTGGACTGAAAGGAGATCAAGTAAGGAAAACAAAATGCAAATTCTTTTAGGTTAAAGTCTCAAGGTTTTTAGCCTTGGGTCTTACATGAAATAGATTCAGAGATAGCATCTGCCTTGTAGGCATATCTGTTCCTATTTGTCACCTTATTTGTACTCTTTTTGTTCGCCAAATGTTCTTTTATTTCCAATGTTACTTTGTACCAGGGATTGTAGTGACCTAATACTCCCCCCAAATATTAGAAACAAGGGTCTCCCCATACACAGAATATATTGTTAATATTAATGTGTTGTTAATTCTATCATAAATGGTTTGTACATGTACCTGCTACTTTCTACAGCAATCTCAGTTAACTTGACATTAAATTTGCTTGTTACATTTCAGGTGCCAAAGTAAATTTTTTTCACCAGTCACAGATTTTAAGCCCAAAAAATGATTTAACAATTTTTCTGAAATTTTTATCTAAACATGTAGCCAATAAAAAATTATGTCCATTTGGGTAAAAATTGTCAAAAATAATACATAAAACAGGGAAAATTTTGGAATAAAGTTTGCTGAGAAATTATGATCCTCAAAACTACTATAGCCCACATTTTTTTTCTTGCATCAATTCAAACTGAACTGCTTTCATGAGTAACGAGTATCACTTTGTTTATTCATAATCTGTAAAGGTCTCAGATCCTGGTACTCATGAATATTATATTGACTAATTAAAATAACAGTACAATATGTTAATTACTTTTATTGTGTTTATTGTTATACTAAATAGACTATTGTCTATCCAAAATTAAACAGTCGGAAACCCTTACTCTGAAAAATGCCCCGGGAGAACCCTGAATAAGACTTATTCCTGGTATTTTCTGACAGTACTGATGTATCGTAATCTGTCACCATTTCTTCTATGAAAACAAATTGTCAGTTTCCTTCAGGCTCTTGTGTTTTAAAAGTGATTTAAAAAATGCAGAACAATTTTATACCAACAATATGTTGAAAAAATTAGAAAGTTATAGTCAAATGTGTATGTTATTATTATACATCTGTCATCGTAACACCATAAGTTACAGAGTGTCATAATTTTGTGGTATTTTATGGGGTATTTTCATTCTACCATATTAGGAAAAGCGAATTCCGAATATGTATTGATTACTTGCATAAGCGTCCTCTAATAATAAAAACAAACGTGGCTGCCACCAAGGTTTGACTGGACTCCACAAAAAGAAGTTTGCTGATTCTGTTCTAAACATTTTGGATTTCGGCATTCCCATGATGTATCCTTGGAAGGAAAAAAGATGTATAATAATACGGTTATTACGAGGATACCTCAAAGTATGCACTCCGACAGTATGTCATCGCATCGACCTCCGCTGCGCGCCGATTGATACTCCTGCTGTACTGTCTGAATGCATACTTTAAGGTATCCTCGTAATAACCTCATATTATCCTCTATTCATTAAACTGGTTAATGTTTTCATATTTTTTCTTCTTGTAGGGAGAGACTGGTGTTGGTTTACCTGGTCCACCAGGTCCCCCAGGGCTCCCAGGTGAAACTATTGATAGTGGTGACGAAGATGGAATTGTAATAAATATGCCTGGTGCACCTGGAGAGAAGGTAATTTAAGTCAACATATGATCCTCTTTCTGAACATTTTACTACAAGTCTAAAAATGAAAATGGATAGGACACAATATTATTTAGTATTCCCAATCACAAACTTTTCTAAATTTTGCAAGCTATCTCTGTATACTTATGTGTATTTGTTTTACTAGAAAGTCTCTTCTTGAGAGCTTCTGTTATTGCTGTTTTTACCTGCATGCTGAACCCATTTTTCAAACTTAAATGGCAAGCTGAACATTCATGTTGATTATGTGTTTGTTGTGTGTTCATTTGTCCAGAGCTGTGATGGTGCTGGCTGGCAATTTTGTTGTAAAAATACACGAGAATCAAGTGTATTGACATTTTGAACTAGATCTTAGGCAAGTGTTGGCTGATTTGCTCTCAAAAGTTGGTTAATCGTTATGGATTGTCGATGCAAATCACTTCAAGTCGCTTGTAACTCAAGGTGGCCTATTGGGGGAGGGGGGGGTTATATTTAGATGGTACATGATGGCACGTGTACACATGGACAATAAATTTGGCAGACTGTGTTGTCTTCAAACTCCATTGAGGGAGTAATCATTACTAGATGTTGATGCATATCACTTCGATTTGTTAAAATGGCTGACTCATTTCATCTATCAGGTCACCTGAGTACTGCGTCATCATGTGCTTTTCACATATGTGTAATTCTTAAAGCAGTAAAATGGCAATGTAAAAAAATGTTCGCTATGCACATAACTAGAAGCTATATTATCTTTAAATGGTGTGAATTGTTTTTATATATGACACATAAAAAAAATTTGCTTTGATCGTTTTATGAGTGACAATGATTATGACCTTCATAGTAATACCGGTAATTTGTGTTGCCATGTCAATATTTGTTTTCTTGCTAAAATGTGATGCCATTTATTGTCCAATGCATAAAGCATGATGAAAGATACGAGATGCAGGTTTTCACAGCTGCATGGGACTGTGCATTGCAATATACTTGTAACACGTATTGTTTTATCATTTTGTGTAATTACAAAATTAATTTTCTATTTTCTTTATTTCAGGGCGATATTGGATTCCCAGGAATTCCAGGAGCAGACGTATGTTATTCCATAATTAGCCACTTTACACATTGCTTGAATCAAATGTAATACTCGCAATGTGCAATACCTGAGGCTCTGAACAGTGCCCTCAGTGTTGGAGCATATATACATGTACATCTTTGATGCATTTCACACCCACATATTGTGAATGTTGAAATGATTCTTTTTTCACGAAATGATAAATGTATAAAAACTAAAGCAAATACTGTAAAATACTTTGAAATATCTACGTGTTATTTTAACAAATTTGACTAAATGCATGAATTATCGTAATCTTTAGCACAAACTCATCATGAGAATATATACATGATTTAAAAATAGCAACATCTTATTATGAATTTGCTAATATAACATTCTAGCAAAAAACACATGTTTTTCAGTATTAATCATTGTCACTTCAATTCATTGATACATGTATATTCCCATGCGAGTATAAACTGTTTGATTTATCTAAAAATATTTCTACAAATTACAGTTAAGTTGTTTTGCAGTTGGATAGCTTCCTGAGATTATTTAAGTGTAAAAAAAACAATAATATTCTGTTAAAAATCGTTTTTGTTCAGAGTAGTATTTCTTCCTATTTCATTTATTCATTTGTGTTTATGTCTTGTAGGGCCTTCCTGGCAGCACAGGATTGCCTGGACCAGTAGGACCGGAAGGACCAATGGGACCCAAGGGAGAAAAAGTAAGACATGTTATCTTTTAACCACCCTTCTAGAATATGTCATTGATTGTGATTACTAACTGCTGTATCTAAATTTATAGTGAGCTGACAATCGTTGTTTTTTTTGGGTTCCCTGTGTAGGGTGATAGTATTGTCGGTCCTCCTGGACCACCTGGTCCACCAGGAACTGGTTTTGAAATACCTGATTATGAAGGATCCGGATCTGGTAACGATGGAGGATTTATTGTAAGTCTATATTCAAATCATACAATAATTTATAAAGATATAGATTGCACCCAATGTATGTCTGATTTGATGATCTGATGATCTGATGCTATGTGCAAGTGTCATTTTTGTATCCAGCTTCATTAAATCTAAAGATTGTTGCATTTTGTGTGAAATCCAACATGTATAGTCGTAAGGATTTATGAGATACAAGTGCTGTGATTTAAATTAAAGAAGTCAGGCAGGATGATTACAAAATTGCATGACAAATGTACATTCCCAAGAATAAAATGTCAACAATTGGTTAGTGGTCCTTGCTTATTCGCAAAGCATCTATTGTGCATGTTCTTGGTTTTCAAATACGATGATAATCTTGCTCATTTGTACTGACAATATCAACCATTTTTAAGTGTCCACTGCTTTCTGTGATGCTATTGGTTAAAATAAATTCTATTGACATGTAGATGGAACGTGCAAGGTCATATTATCTTTATTTCACATCACCATACAATATTTCGTTTACGTCTTTTAATCTATTGAGAGGCATATCTAAAATATCAATCACAATATTTTCATTATTCTCCCATTCTGATGAGTCATTCAGGAAGAACACACTTGGTAATCGTATAATTTTGAGTTTTAATTTATCTTTAGATTGGTAAGGGCAAACCCGGACCAGCAGGTCCTGAAGGACCACAGGGACTACCTGGACAATCAGGGGTACAAGGTCCACCTGGCTTGCCTGGCCCACCAGGCCCAGCTGGACAGGCCGGATTACCTGGTCAACCGGGGCAACCAGGCAGACCGGGCGAACCTGGAACTGGATTTGTTGACGATCAAGATCTTTTGATTGGTCCACCTGGAATTCCTGGACAGAATGGTTTAAATGGGGAGCCTGGAGAACCTGGACCTACGGTATGTTTTTAGACCCTATTTAGATGGTAATGAGTTTGGTGTGTTTGTGCGCCAGTTTAAGCAAACTCTAAAAAAAGTTGTAAGTGGATTTTGATTAAATTTGTTATCTCGATAACTTTAAGAAATGTGCAGACATGATTATGGGACCAGATTCATGCATATTAAGCAGAAATCGTTTGTTTATAGTATGTATGTAGTTATTTGGCTGTAGCTAGAAAACAAGGACAGATAAACAGAAACTGAAACTTGATCGTCTGTGTTACAAACAATTCACTTGTGCCTGGCTGAAAGTGTTAAAAAGAATGTTGTCAATAGTTGAAATATTTGAAAAGCTTAGTAGCCAAATTTTTCCCTCGGTACGGCATATGCACTACCTTATTAATCTATATCTAAGCTTTCAGATGATATATAGGTTGTTATAGTAGCATGCTTAGTAACTATTAGAAAATGTCTGAATCACAGATCAATTTTTAACCCAGTTGCTACTTTAAATTGTTTTCATTGTTAAGATCATTTGAAATAAATAAAAATAATATTGCATATTTCCAGGGTGCAATTGGTCCAGAGGGTCCACCAGGATTAACAGGACCAATAGGACCTCAGGGAGAGAGGGTGAGTTTATATTAACTTAATTTTATTATTACACTTCTAAAACCATCAGAGTAATCATGGTAGATGCGAAAGAAGATAACAAAATTTAACCCACAAAAAAGTATTTTTAATAAATATTTTGCTATTGTGGTATATATATATATATACTAACATGTACTTTTGATCAATCAGAAAATATATATTGTTACATTGATATGCAACATTGATGTGGATTAGGTTCATCTGCTATCATGAGTGAATATAAAACAATGCCATGTACTAAAACACTTCTGGGGATATAAAGTCCTCCCAGCTTCCTGATTGGGTGAAAAGCACTAGGTGCATTTCAAACATAGTTATTAGATGCCTATTATTCTGACAAATTGAAAATTGATCATTATGTTCTAATTTCAGGGTGAACCTGGTTTTCCAGGTTTGGAAGGTCCCCCTGGCGATAAGGTAAGATTAAAATTGTTACTGTGGAATACTTTATTTTCGCTGGAATAAATTTTCGCTGAAAAGTCTTTTTGGGCGTTTTGTATGGAATTTATTTTCACTGACTTTTGATGAGTTTAATGTGAAATATAGGAAAAAAAGTATATTCGCTGGATTTTATTTTCACGAAATCAATCCCTTCAGCGAAAATAGCGAAAATAAAGTATTCTACAGTAAGCATGACCCTCGGATGTCACACTAAACTGAAACTTGATAACAAAAATCAACAAATTTGGTTTAAAACTGTAATATTTTTAGAATACAAAAATACTTTGAAATTAAGTGATTTGTTGATTTTTCTGAATGAAAATTAGCGTTTGAAAAGCAACATGCATTTACGTAAATTTATACTCATCAAAGCAGTTAAAACATTTTCCATACTTGTTTGAAATGGTTATTTGTTTAACAATAAAACAAAGTTGAAGTTTACATATATGATGTATACAAAAATTTGTTAATGGGAAACCATACTGTTTACTTATGTCATAAAACATTTTGTCTATACATTTAGGGTGAACCTGGTACGAATGGGTCTCCTGGTCTGCCTGGTTTTTCTGGTGAACCTGGACTACAAGGACCTGCAGGTGTAGCTGGCCCAGCCGGCCCTCCTGGACCCGCTGGCCCACCTGGAAAGGTGGTTATAATAGTAAGTAATCATGTCTGTTGCATATCATGTGTTTTTTTATTTGGGGGAGGAGGGGGTGTCAAACTATGTCATACTAAAAACAAGTGAATGAAAGATGGGTATAATATTAATCTATATTCCTGATGCGTTGCGGACATCACCTTAATATTGATGTTATGGTAATTTATTGCTTTTAACAGGTGATCACTAGAACTCTTATTTGCATATGTGAATCTTTTACAGATTTTTGCATAATCGTGCATTTGATGTAAGAAAAGAATCTTTTCTAATCCTGATTTAATTGTTTCAGTAACTGATGTGCATGTGATGACAATTGTTTTTTTTTTATTATATTTTATATTGAATCTAATTTTTGTCCTCACAGCCAGGATATGGTTATGAAGGCAGTGGGGATGACGAATATGGAAGTGGATTCCTTGGTGGTGGTCCTGGTAACATTGTAAGTGCAGAATTTATAGTACATGTATCTGTTTGAATGTAAAAACTATTAGTTCACCTCTGTGTCCACCTGTCCATTCATTAACACAATGTCTGGGCAGACTACATTTTTACTTCACATGCACATCAGAATTCATTTGTTTTATAATTCAATTCAAGATGGCCGAATGATGGCCAAAATTAGAGATTTTTAATTTTTCAAAACTGGATTTCTGTTGTCTGTATTTCAATAAACCAGGTGTGTTCATGGAACATAATGCCTTCTTGATGAACAGTAAATAGTAACCCTAGTACAGAATTTGGTAATGGGCTACTGGTAATTTTGAACCTTTACCAGTATGCATGTATGTTTTTTTTTTACAAGATTGGATTAAAAATGGCTCATTGGCAGCCATATTGTTTTAATGAATACTGTTATTTTTTTGCAGGGGCCGCCTGGGAAACGCCCAGGACCGGGACCACCGGGTCCCCAGGGACCACCTGGTATTCAAGGGGAAAGAGTATGTATATGTTTTATAATATTTTGTTTTATTGACAGTTTAATTTGTTAAAAAAATTTCACACACTTATTGTCGCTGCAGGCCATTTTTTTTAAGACCAAGTCTTGAATTATGTATCTCATGACAACAGAAATTTTAACGCATTGTTTTATCAATGACATCTATCACCAATATTTTGGAGTACAGCATCATTATATCATATTTATTCTATTAAGTGCATGTCTGTGAAATGTGAAATAAATGAGTCGAATAAGTTGTATTAAAATGATAGCATATATTCAATGCAAGATGGACTTCTGATAGAGCAAGTTATGGTAGTTATTCAGCATTGCCCATATTATATGCATTTCATTATTTTTTTATTTTCAACTAACTTTGTGTCCATTTTTTGATCTTCTTGCTTCTCGGATTAAATTCTGGTAAGGTTCTGTATGTATGTCAGAAAATTTAAAAAAAATTTCATATTTGCAAAAAAATTGTATAATTAATCTGTGTTTTTTTTATATAAATCATTCTTTATTACAGGGCTTTCAAGGGCCTCAAGGACCACAGGGATTTAAGGTAAAATTGTGTCTATTTTTTTACCTTGCTGAAAATTATACATGTATTTGAGTGGAGAATGTCTATCTGTAATGTAGTCTGGTGTAAACTATTTCTTGTGATTTCAATAGCACAAATAATTTGTATATGATCATCTTCTAATCAGGAAAAACTAGTTCAATTTTGGGGTTACTGAAATGTATAATTTTCAAGAAATGCATTAAAACTTGAATAAAATAGTTTCTAAATTTATGTTTGTTTAATCTAAAATTAACAAAGGAGTTATTGCAGATTAAAGTTCTCATTAGATTTCTTTCTTTCCGGGATGAACACTTCTATGAAAATACTGAGGGAAAAATAATCATTTCATTATCATGTTTATCAGTGACATTGATATGATAGAAAAAAGAAAGGTCAAAAGTAGTGAGGCATAACTGATGGAATGAGTCAACCATATTAAACTTTTTTGTTTGTTTCATTTCAGGGTGATAAGGGTGATGGGGGACCAGCTGGTGTTGATGTAAGTTGTGATCTTTTAGTATTTCATTTAACGTACAACCCAAATTTAAAATCAAATTGCGAAATCGTTCATCATAAAAGCTGGGTTGATTTCTAGTTCATAATTTATTCACTGGTTTCCATGGTTCCCGAAATTCTGATGAGCTATCAAATGTTTAAGAGGTGAAATAAAACACCCAAGGTAAAAGTGAAACTCAAAAGTTGCCTATTTTAACTAAGATTTGGTTATTGTAATATCCTAATTAATAAAACAGTTTGAACTGAACATTTTTATGCAGAATTATTTTCCCGAACGAGTCAAAAGCTGCAATTTTGTGCAGTTAAATTTTTGACAAACAACCTTTCCAAGTCATTTGCAAGTCATATACAAGTATCGGAAACTGAAATGTTTTTATAAAATAAAGGTTTATATTATAATCTTGTCTAATAATGAAATTATCACTATTTTTCTGTATACGTTTCAGGGTTTGCCAGGACTTTCTGGAGAGCCAGGATTGAAGGTAAACTTAACTTTATATTCAGTGTCTTAGTTATTTTACCAAATTATTTGTATGATGTATTCTTCATGCAGCAGTGAGGAAATAGTTTTTTGAGTTATTACACACTGTAATTGCCATTTAAAAAAACAAAAACGATTTTGCTTTTTGCCTGAGAAAAAATTGAAAAATGCCACAATAATTAATTATCTTGTAAAACATGTCTTTTTCGCAAGCATGTCTTTTTACGAATTTAGTGAGAGAACTGATTCGCTAATAACTTTATTATAAATTAAAAATGGTCGCTAAACAACGTCTTTTTTCTCCACACACACTTTGTAAACAACACAAAAAAAACATGACATGACATGATGAAAAGTAAATTTATCACACACAAAAATAAACGTATTCATTGTGGTCATTATTTCAATGAAAATAAATAAATGAAGTGATACTGATATATTATTACAGAAATTAGTAGTACTTAGTAATTTTTGAGTCCCAATATAAAAGGTCAATGTTCTGGGTGTAACGCAGCAACGAAACCTGCTTTTTCAAATCCCTTTTGAATCAGTTTTTTATCATTGCACACAGAATCAAATTATACAGTTTTCTTTGTTTTTATGGGGGTAATAACTGTTTTGTTTTGGGGCACGACAGACAATTATTGTGAAAACCGGAAATCTACAATGACGAGAGATTTGCTAAATCAACATTTCCCTACTAAAAATTGTATGTCGCTTTTTCAACATATTTTACAGTATTATAAGATGTTATTCAATACCACAAGATATATGTTCAACATTTATGTTTTTGAATACATGCATCGAAGGTTGATTTAGATCCACAAAACATTCTCTGAAACTAGACCAAACATTTCCTTATTCTAGCCTACATTTTATATACTTTTATATGTTTTAATTGATATATTTTTGATTTGTCTATTTTAAAACAGGGTGACCCAGGTATCGATGGAGTCTGCAAACCCTGTGAAGATGGTATACCTGGATTACCGGGTCCGGTTGGAATGCCTGGTCTATCTGGACCACCTGGCCCTCCTGGATTAGTATGTAAAATTTATTTTATCTAGTTAATTCCTTTAGTTGTAATATTGAATAGCGATGCCAATTACTTCATGGTTGAAAAATCATTGCACGGAATGTGTTTCAGATGGTTCTCATTTTCTTCATTCCTATCTATCATTTCACTCTACAGGGTGGGAATGGGGATGCCGGTGCTGGTGCAGGACAAAAGGTACTGTCATATATATGCCTTACTAATTGCATTACCATATTAACTATTTTCATATTTTGTGTATTTATAGATGTTAAAGTTTAGGTCTGAAATAAATCACTTTGATTGAATTTGAAATATTGGGGGGGGGGTTAAATCACATTCACCATTACTATTATTGCAGGGCGACATTTGGATATTTTCTGCGCCTCATGGGAAAGCTGATTATTATGCAAATTAGATATATTGTAATGCAAATTGACCATGATGCTTAAAATGAAGTCTGAGGAGAACACTGTCATACCATCAAGCATTTCACAAATTCAAATCTCCAAGTGCAAATTCTAGCTTAGGTTCTTCAAATTTACAGTCACTGTTATTTTATATTTATACTTCTACATTAACAAAACAGTACATGTATAACATTAAAGCAGCAGGCTAGTCACGAATTTTTATAGAAAGATTATTAATTAATTGTTACCATAAATACTGGTCACCCAATAAAATAGTCTCATATAAGGTATGCTAGTAAGTTGCTACCATATTTGGTAATGCATGTGTATGATTTGCATATAATTTGAATAAGCACCTGTAAGTTACCGATTATACGAATACATATTCATGAATTTTGTTTTCCCATCTGTTACAGGGTGAACCAGGAACATCAGGAGTACCAGGACTTCCTGGTCCTGCTGGTGAACCTGGGATTGCTGGATTACCTGGACCAAGAGGGTTTGTTGGACACCCTGGAATACAGGCAAGATTTCTATCCATTTTATAAAAAGCAGTATGTACATGTATGTGCCCGATTCAATATCGGCAAGACTTAATATAAATTAATAAACCTTGTCTCACGCTAGGGATTACCTGGTGCAGTTGGACCAAAAGGAGAGGATGGAGTTGGACTGCCTGGACCACTAGGACCACCTGGTCTGAAGGTATTTCTAAATAATGATTATGATTCAAGAGAAAACTATCTGGTGTTATTCAAAGTTTGACGTGAATCATCCCTTTGACGAAAATAAATTGCAAGCGAAAATAATTGAAAGTATTTTACAGTAGATGATTCTCCAGTAGAGGGGGTATATAAATCTCTTTCGCTGAAATCTTGAATCTATGCTTTGTAGGGAGATAAGGGAGAACCCTTTCTTTTACGAGATGGTGAAGTGCTGATGGTGAAAGGAGAGAAAGGAAAGAGGGGGAAAAGAGGAAAGATGGGAGCCAAAGGAGAAGTTGCAACAAAAGGAGAAAAAGGAGCATTCGGGTTACCTGGGAGACCAGTAAGTTGTTTGCTTTATTACTATGTTTTACTTAGGTGTTATTTGTGTATATTATGTGAAAAGATGTTTTTCCATAGACCTACATAAAGGAATCTATGGTTTTGCTGAGACTTGTACTGACTTAATCACACGGATAAGAGATTGACCCGGTTAGTAAGCGATTGCTGTCACAGCTGAGTATCCTAAACAAATCTGATTGAATGCCTTCTAGGTTATCTGCTGAACTATTTAGTCACAAATCTGTAATATTCTAAAAATTATCAAACAATGAACAACAGTTTTTTGTTTTCTGGATGTGCTGTATCTGATGATAGTTGATAATGATACAGAGTTGAACATGTGACTGCTAAATTCTTGTCGAGGTTGGAATAAATTCAACATTAATGAACAAAATCTAGGCAAAATATACAGACTATTATGTAGAAGGGGAAGGTCCCACAACAATAAGAGGGTAGTAACCAGGTTACTTCTTGTCCTTGCCTTTTCACAATATTTTTCATTTGGTGAGTGAACATGAATTTATTACAATTAGATTTATAGAAAACTACCAATGTTTTAAAATTTACATTTATTTAATAAACTACATGTATCAAGATTATACAAACTCATGTTTGTTCATAAATGGATAAAAAAAAATTTAAAAGAAAGAGTAAGTTGTATATGTTTCAATGAATTACGTCTTATTTGTGAGATATCTGAATTGTTTTGTGCAATTGTTTAGGGTAAACCAGGACTGATTGGACCAATTGGACCACAAGGTGAAAAAGGAGAAAGAGGAGAAATTGGATTTGCTGTGAGTATCTTTCTAATTTTACCATCATGAATAAATACTTCATCCTTTATCACAAGAACAAATAATTCTGCTTACACATTCATAATATTGAATTATTTAGGTTAATTTATGTCATTATTAGTGTAAAGTGCACAACTTTGAGCAAGAAATTTGCAGTTCTATTTTATACTCTATCATGAGAATAAATATCCACCAATCTGATCAACAAAATTGTGAGAACTTAGAGTAGAATATCATGTTTGCTGAGCAGTGAAAAAGTGTCAGTTTGTCTCTCAATTTTAGCACTTTTTACCATTTATTAGTCCCCGTTCGTCTGAAGTCCGAAAACAGGGAATTAGGATTCGGTCTCCGTTTGTCCGTCCAGTCATATTTCAGAATTCTTTGGACCGATTCCGTTCATTCTTTGCATGTGCCTAGTACTTTATGTGGGATGTATGCACATGCAGTGGTTTAGTGATTTGATTCAAAATGGCTGACTGGCATTCTGTAATCAGCAATAAACAAGATCTTTGCCATATTCAAAAACACAAATACATAATGTAATGTATGTTTTGCAAATATGCAAAGACACAAGCAAAATGGTCAAATGATAGCAGTTTACAAACAAACATTTGTATTAGTATTCCTAGTAATGTATGTTAGTCGTGATATTCACATAGAATGTTTGTGAAATTTTGTTGAGTTTGTAGTATATATTGAAATTGTAGTACAAATAGCATTGTAGTTATATTTAATTTTAGTACATGTTGAATATTAATATTCCAGTTTATATTGAAAAATTGTAAAAATAATATTTCATATTGAAATGTATGATATAAATAGAATTGTATAAATAAAAATACATTAATATAATATCAGAGTGTATTGACTAGAACTATTTAATACTGCATCACCATAATGTTGAAGTGTAATTGTATATTTTTATTGGTATTCAGGGAGTCCCTGGTTTGAATGGAATACAAGGAGAAAAAGGTGAAAAGGTAGGTTGTATATCATTAAACAAAATTGTTTTTTTATGACTTGATTTATTGGTAATCGTTTATTTTTGTTTAAATTAATAATGTTGTTGCAAATTTGTAAGCATATTTTTCATACAGTGCTCATAAGTGCTAAAATATATTATTTGTTATATATGGTATGTGTTTGCTGTGCAAGTGTACTTATGAAGTGTTATTAAAGTTATATGCACCTGCGTAAACTATACAGTTTATAAAGAAGTTGGGAAAAAGTACTAATGTTCAGAGATGTGACTGGAAGTGACGATAGTTTTCTCATGTTTCTGGTTGATTCAAAATATGATACATTGTAGTTCGTATTGTGTCTAGGGTGGTGATATTTATTTAAGTTAATGTTCTTAACTTTCTAACACTACAAAACTATTAATAAAACATGTATTATTATTGCTTTTGCAGGGAGTTGGACAAAAGGTAAGTACTGTATCTGTGCAGTTGTTAAATAACTGTGAAGCTATTTTCGAGATTGTGGCTACCTAACCCTAAACCTAACAGTTGTACCAATCATAGAGCAGCATGTTCTGACGAATCAAAATTTGCTTTGTGTGTATATATATGCTTCGGCTGCAGTTAAACAATTAGATTGCCAGATATAATTATGAGGTTTCTGCCACAATTTTAGTAATTCATTTGTGACATTTTTGCAGGCTTTCAATTTTCCTCATGCTTCTTCAAAATTACTTTTTGGTTAAAAAAAATCTTATTTGTCAATTTTGTAAAATTTTCATAAAATATATGCAGTAACACAATTCAAAAGTATAGCAAATGGCAGGAGTAATATTAGTGACCTTGAAGAATTAAACAATTTAATATCTTGCCAGTATTGGAACATTAGATAAAACTTTAATTATGTATCCCATAATATTCACATCTAATAACAATAGTATTGTTATATCAGACGTGTATGTAAGCCATATATGTTGTAATTAGTTGATAAAATACATCTTATTTTGTTCAGACACACCTCTGCTATTTAAATGAATGCATGCACTTCTAGAGAACATGCATTATATCATGATTAACCAGATATTTTGCTTGAGATGAATATTTAAAATCTCTTTAACAAAAGTACAATTTTGGACCTAATTCCCTCTATTACTGTAAACAGCGAAGTGAAAATCTTATTTTCAATTGGGTTACATACATCTCTGATAATAGAGGTTTACCTTAGCGTTTTCTCTGTTTGTGCTCTTGACAGGGAGAGAGAGGTCCTCCAGGTGAGCCAGTGATTGTAGATCCAGGAAGCCCAGGTGGAAATCCAATATCTGTGAGTACATTTATGCACCTTGTGAGAAATGTTCTTTTTCTGAAAATTGTTGAATATCGATAATTAATTTATGTTGAATACCATTTTCTAGATACCTGGGAGGCCAGGAGAGCATGTAAGTAATACTGGGTATTCTCAAATCTCATTGGCTAATCCATATCACATGAATAAAATCAACCAATCAATAACAAAATTCACATCCTGCTCATTTAAAAAAAATATTACAATTCAAATCATACTTCTATCTTTGAATTTCATTGGTTAAAAAAATATCACATCCTTCAGCCTGTCAATCAATTACCATATTTACATACTGATCACTGATATGCTTATTCGAAAAAGTTCATTTTCATTTTCTTTTAAGTTTTTATTGGTTAAAAAAAAACTGTCACATGATTGTGCCTGCCAACCCATCACATACTGACCATTCTATAATATACTGTGAATCAAATCATGAATTCGTGTCATTTCAATGTATAACATTTTCCCTTTTACTGACCATCTCAATCGCCACCGTTAACAACCAATGTGGGATATAGGAAATAAAATTATGTGCATTTTAAATTTCCAGCTATTTGTATATCTGTACTGATATCTACAAATTATGTGCATCTTCATGCAATATTACTCGGAATATAGTACACATGTGTACTATATATGTATCTCTGCAATCTTTTCTTTGGCTTTTCTGATCTTAATTCAAATTAAGGGCTGCAAAATTAAACGTACATATTATGTAGGTACCAGTTTGCTTTGATTTCAAATGCACATAATTTCATGTGTCCACACTATTTGTTTCTGTGTCACTGGTAAACGTGTTTTTTGTAGGGTGCTCCAGGATTACCAGGGCCGGTTGGACCAAAAGGAATGCAAGGCAGTCAAGGTGAAAGAGGTCTTCCAGGGCTAACTGGACCACCTGGACAGAAGGGTATGAAAGGTAATAATGATAATGTTTTTGTACGAAAAAATTAAAAGGACATTTAATTTAGGATGTTAGTCTAGTTTTGGTATGAAAACATGTTCTATTTGATGTTCTATTTAGGTACGGCTGGAGTGAATGGATTAGATGGTGTTCATGGCTCAAGAGGGCCGTCTGGTTCTGTGGGGTTACCCGGTGCTACAGGTCCACAAGGTCCTCCCGGTATTGATGGGTTACCTGGACGAGATGGATTATACGGAGGCAAAGGTGATAAGGGTGATACAGGAATGAAGGGACCCAAGGTAATAAACAATTGTGATGTTGTAGTGAACATTCAGTTGTGTGAAAGTTGAAATACATGTATGTTGCAGAATTCAGTGCTCCTTTTGGGAGGTCATTGGTATGGTTGAAACCTCCAAGAGTAAAATTTGCAATCTTCACATGATTTCTTTTTAGAGAATAGAATCATTAATCCATTACTGCAACTTGTGTTTCAACACGTTTCTAAATATTACATTGAAATCCAATTGACAAAAGTAACACAAATTGTCGCCAGTTTTGCTACTAAAATATGTATGAACATTCAGATTTTGTCACATAAACTACCCAGACTTACAAGACAAAATACTGTAGAATACTTTATTTTAGCTGAAATAAATTTCCCCTGATTCACCACTTAATTCAATGAAAAAGAACTTTGATGCAGGATGACTACCACAGACCTATGTCCATCATAGATTTTCTAAAAAGGTCTTTCTTCAGTCTTATCAGATCTGGTGACATAATTGATCAAGCTGTTAGGAACACAATTATATATATAATCTCATTATTATATATAATCTCATAATTATATATAATCTCATACATATATATAATCTCATATACAGGGCTCCCGTAAAATAAGTCTTGTATTAAGTCCTGAAATTGCTGTTTAAATGTACTGGTATAATATTATGCAGATGGTAAATGTTGCGTGAAAAGAACCAATCACTACAAGTTTTACAAAGCACAATTTAGCAGCTGATAATAATCTGTGCATGACATGTCTTTCATCCATCACATCTTTACAACAAAAAGCCCAATTCCTTGGAGTGTACACCTTCTTCCAAATTCTTCCCTTGGTCGCAAGGTTGTCTTGTGCACTGCACTCTCAAGGTCCTAAATTGGTGATCAATTATTAAACTAATTAAGTTTCAGCAAATTGATGTTTTGTCTTTTGTTTCCAGGGTGAGCCAGGATTACCGGGATCTGGCAGTGGAGGAGGAAGCATACCTGTACCGGGACCAGTTGGCCCACCTGGACTGATTGTAAGTGACCTTCACACTGTCTGTGTTTGAAAAAAAAAAGTTTTAAATTTTTTTCATCTGTGTTGATAGTCAATGCAGCGTTTAATAAATGAATGAACTACATTCCATTAAAATGGACAACAATTTTATTTAACTTCTGAATTTCTATTTGTCCTTTTATTGAAAAATATTAATTCTTAGCAGTTCAAAATTAAACAATTCAAATTATTAGATATATTTTCTTCATTTGCTGGAATACAATGAGAAGATCACAATTTGTTTTGCTTTTCCAGGGTCCACCTGGACCACCAGGTCCACCAGGAGAAGCTGTTCAAGGGATCCCAGGACGTCCCGGTAGTCCAGGTTCTCAAGGCCCACCAGGAATAGGTGTGCCTGGACTTCCTGGTCCAGCTGGTTTGCCTGGCTCAGGAAATCTAGAAAGCGCTGGTATGTTATTCATTCATCTAGTTGTCAACTTACTGTTAACTCATAAAACAAGTGTTTGCCAACAAAACCTAGTAGTCAACTAATTATTAATAGTCAAAATTACTGCGAAAAATAACATTTGTCCTACAGGGACATTTTTGTCCAGTGGATGTTTGTTCAAGAACTCTAAATATCACATGATTATGACATCATTCATGAATATTCATATCATAGTATATGTCACACACCAAGGCCATTCACATGATTTTATGATTATGAATGATTCACAAAAATCTTCAACAAAATAAAGTATTGTGGTACAACAAAATAATTAAGTACATGCTTTAATTCAATGCCGAATAACAATTATCAAATTGGAATTCTTGACAGGCATGAAAGGAGAAAGAGGTAACAGAGGCTATCCCGGACCTCCTGGACCACCTGGACCAACAGGAGAATCAACCAATGGTCTACCAGTTGGCAAATATACTACAGTAAGCTAAGTTCACAATATTTAAATAAATTGTGTCAGAGACTCGATGTATTATATATTCAATATTTATAATATAATCAAACCCATTGTATTTTTTGAGAATCAAGTGAAAAAAGTTACTATAAAGTAAATTGAATGTATAATATATGGTAACTAATCAAGCTACAAATAAAAAAAAAATGTTGAGTATTCCATTCATATATATAAGCCATATTGGATAATTAAATAACTCATTCAGAAAAATACATTCATTAATGTCAAATTTAGTTTTTTTGAATTAAAAATAAATTTAATAAAACAAGCAGGTCAAAAAATTAATTTTTTTATATTTATATGGAGAGCAATATCACAGATTAGTTCTTGCACGTAATCAAGTCAGTGTTACTTTTTTAACTCCTTCCATATTTTGTTTTGTTTTTCTTTTCAGGTTGCGACCTATCTCACACTCGATGACATGCAGTCCGTAGCCAGGATAACCCCAGTAGGGGGTCTAGCATTCATTCATGATAGACAGGAACTATATGTCAGAGTGGAGGAAGGCTGGCAGATTATTGAGGTGATTCCCTTTGTTATGACACATACAGCTTTGTTGGTGTGAGATGATTCTGAAAAACATTTTCATATATTTAGCACATTGCGCGGACGAACTATCGCTGACTAATGCTAACTACCGCTAACTATATAGATATATCCTGCAACAGAATTGGCTGTTATTCCATATGCTATTATTACAAACGCGACTTGGTGCTTAAAAACCTGCATGCAAATTTGTATTGCCTGGTGACCTTGAATTATTAAGGGTCATCTGCTAGTTGAGCGAACAATTAAACATGAATTATTATTTTTTGCAATATAACTATTTGCCTCGCAACTACATTACATGTTGAAAGAATGTTCGGTGAAGTCATTGCTACAGCGGTGTCAGAGCACATGCGTGTAAGTGATCGGGTCCCTCAATTGATACTCCACATTGTGGGATATCTTCTTTTGTAAAAAAATATTGCTGCATCCTCTGGGAATTCACAGCAAAAATTGGCACGTCTTAAGCATGCCCGGTAGATGCATCCTGGGAGCACCGCCATATTTCATCGCATATCAATTGTATTTCATGTTATCAAATATATATTATAATATATATTTCATGTTATCAATTGTATATTTTTGGGTGCAATCACCTGCACACATGTGCTTTATGTTAACATATAATATCGCTTAATAACGGTTGATCTGTTAGCTGCTTTTTAATAGATGCAAATTAGAAAAATAAAATCTGTCTATGTTTCAGCTTGGTCCTATTCTGCCGCTGCCCCCTATACCAGTTACAGTAAGTCAAGTTGATTTCAATATTTTTTTTATATCATATTTAAACAATATTATGAGGTTTATCAGGAGAACACCGCAAAGGATACACAAAGGCAATATGGTCATCGTATTGACTAGGCAATAGCAGAGGTGGATGCCACCCAAGTGTATACTTTGCGATATTCTCATAAGCTTTTTATTATTATACATCTTATATTCTGCAATGACAATAACAAATGTTTTGCGCTTTGCAGATGTTTTTGATTTGATTTTTGACGAGTTGTTATAGCAAATCTTCACCCCAGTGTAAATAAGGAAAAGTTCAAATCTCGCGCTTCAGTTTTGTCTTAATCGACAAACTCTATTTTTGGTCCTAGATGTATAATAATATTTTTTATTATTTTATTTTTTGAGGAATAATCAAACATTTCTGCTATTTTCTATTTTTGTTCATTTCTATTTTCAACATATGTTTGTTATTTTTTTTTCAGACATTGCCAGGTCCTTCAACTCTTCCAGTACCAACACCCGGTGTTATCGATGGCAATAAGAAGGTGAGTTATACAAATAAGAATAATTTTTTAATAGTACATGTGCAGCTACAGTGTACTGTATTATCATCAAAACCAACATAGCTGACAATATCATAGATGACATCGCTGACATTATAGAAACCAATATGGCTACTGTTTTCATTGCTAATTTCATTACTGATATAACTGCCACTGCCACTACCAAACCCAATATGGCTCCTACTATCACATCCAATATGGCTGCCACTATAAAAACCAATATGCCACCATTTCATGACCAATATCCCTGCCACTGTCACTGGCAAATCCAATATGGCTGCCACTACCACACTCAATATGGCTCCTACTATCACATCCAATATGGCTGCCACTATAAAAACCAATATGCCACCATTTATTTGCTAATTTCATTACCAATATCCCTGCCACTGTCACTGGCAAATCCAAGATGGCTACCACTACCAAACCCAATATGGCTCCTACTATCACATCCAATATGGCTGCCCCTATAAAAACCAATATGGCTGCCATTTATTTGCTAATTTCATTACCAATATCCCTGCCACTGTCACTGGCAAATCCAATATGGCTACCACTACCAAACCCAATATGGCTCCTACTATCACATCAAATATGGCAGCCACTATAAAAACCAATATGGCTGCCATTTATTTGCTAATTTCATTACCGATATCCCTGCCACTGTCACTGGCAAATCCAATATGGCTACCACTACCAAACCCAATATGGCTCCTACTATCACATCCAATATGGCTGCCACTATAAAAACCAATATGGCTGCCATTTATTTGCTAATTTCATTACCGATATCCCTGCCGCTGTCACTGGCAAAGCTAATATGGCTACCACTACCAAACCCAATATGGCTCCTACTATCACATCCAATATGGCTGCCACTATAAAAACCAATATGGCTGCCATTTATTTGCTAATTTCATTACCAATATCCCTGCCACTGTCACTGGCAAATCCAAGATGGCTACCACTACCAAACCCAATATGGCTCCTACTATCACATCCAATATGGCTGCCACTATAAAAATCAAAATGGCTGCTATTTCCTAACCCAGTATATGGCTGCCACTATTAAAATCAGTCACAAAACATTCAAGTTAAATGACTGGAGTTTTTTTAATCTCAATCATTGCATGTCTGTTTTTCTAGTTACATATGTACGCTTTGAATTATCCTGTTGCTGGCTACCACATTGGTCCTGACAGCATGGGTGGAATACGTGGTGCAGATTTCCTGTGTTTCAAACAAGCTGAAGAAGCTGGACTTCAAGGAACTTACAGAGCTTTCCTATCATCAAAAGTACAGGATATCAAATCAGTAGTTAGAAAAGAAGATAGAGATGCACCTGTAGTTAATGCAAAGGTATGATGACTAGATATTTTAGGAAAAGTAGTCAGCAGTACCTGTTGAAATGTTTTCATTTTGAGAGCATGTTTTCACAATACATAACACAATGTAAATGATGTAAATATTAGAGTTCAGTGTTCTGAATAAATGACGGAAGTCGTTGTTGCCGGCATGACATGACCTAACATTTGATATTTGTCTCATGTGATATGCACGTGAAAAACAGAAGATATTTAGACGCATGTTATATAATGATTCCTATTTATGGTTTATTACACAAAATCCTTTGTTTGTATAGTTGGTTGATACATGTATAAGCGACCTCATCGGCTAATATTATCTCCAAAGGTGAGGTCATGGCACCAGCTCTACATATAAGTAATATCAGTTGATAAAACTTCATTTCATGCAGAGAATTAATAATTTTACGGTCCTATGCTTACATGTATGAATGCTATAATTAGGCGTGACTAATTATGAGTTATAATTCAGTCTGAAATTCTTATCAGTACCATTTTTACGGATGCAAGATGACGTTATTGTGCATATCATACTAATCATTCATATTTTGATTGATGTGCTTAATTTTTCAGAATGAGTTGTTGTTTTCATCATGGAATGATATATTTAAGGGTAGTGAAGCACCATTTAATAGTGACATTCATGTGTATTCATTTGATGGGAAAGACGTAATGACAGACCCAGCATGGTAAGTAATAATATGATATTTTGATGAAAATTACTAGCACCTCAAAAGTTAGTCAAAAAATGGACACAAGTGATTATGGGAACAAGCCCTGTTGCAAATCTGAATAAGAAATCGTGTTTTGTACTCTATAGGTGTTTCAGTCTATAATGAGAATGCCCAGATGCACTCCACAATTAACTTTCATAGAAAAGTTATCCTGTAGTTTATTCTCCTTTAGTTTTAAAAACAGTATTTTCTCATCTGGTTTAGATATTAAATTAACTATATACCAAAATCAAATCACAAACTCAAAGCTGCTTTGTGACTCATTTTTGAGAACACTATACTTACTCAAAACTTGTGTTCCACTGCTAATGTTGTTTTGCATAGTGTTTTAGTGTAACATACTAAAATTTTGCTGAAAAGGCAGTTTCACTGGTTTTTGATATTGGGTAAGATGAATGTAAAATATTGAAAATTAAATATTTTCTTGCCTTCAATAATTGCCTGTTAAGTAATCCTTTTTATTTATGGTAGCTGTCTGTTTTACAAATAAATTTTCTTTTATTCTGCAGGCCTCAAAAGTATATATGGCACGGTTCTTACAGTAATGGTGAGCGTATGCTGAGTAGCTATTGTGACCAGTGGCTGGCAGAGCAATCTGACGAAGTAGGACAAGCCAGTCCACTTATCAGTCACAAATTACTAGGTCAAGAAACTTATAGTTGTAACAATAACTTTGTTTTACTCTGTGTCCAAAATACAGTTGGGAAAGTGAAAAAGAAATAATTATTTTTTTAAAGAAGCAAAATAAATATTTTTAATACTCATGAATTTTAACCAGCTGAAATTCAGGATAGCCTTTTTCCAGGGCAGTAATTCCACCTACACAAAATTTATCCAAAAGTTTTTACTGAAATATATGGTTAGTTGCAACATGATTTGTGACGTCAGCTTTTTACATTATTTTTAAACTGTCTGAAATGATTTCTTGTTATTATTTTATTTTTTGACATTAGCTCGCTAAATAAGTTTAAGAATTGCTATTGATCTTGTTGTCAAAGAACTTCAGATCATTTTTAGTCCTGTTTAGATGAGACTGAAATTGTGAAAGGTCACAGTTATGTAAATTACATGCTAATTAGTTAGGTAATTAATTTGGATGTAATTCTAGAACAAGTCGTATGAACAGATTCCTGCATTTACAACAATGTAGCTAATTTTTTTAACTGATGGTTTGTGCCAGCCAGCACATTTTTCAAAAGATAATTTATTGGACTATACCATTAGAATAAGGGGTGGGTCAGCATATTATCCTGCATTGCAATAAAACCATAATCTTCCTCATGGTGTTATTAAAATTAGATTTGAATTTGAATAGACATGGTAATCAGGACAGGTTTTAGATTATTTTAAATTATTTGTAATTTTAATCATTAAAGTCTCATAAGCTTGTTATCAATTTAATGCTGATTCAAGATGTGGTACCAAATAAACAGATATGTGGTGAACTGTGGTACGGTACACATATGCTAATAGAACTTGACAACTAGAAAATTCATTTTGTCACCTATTTTATCATAAATATGTGCCATGTTATATATGACATGTGTTACCTCATTTGGCAATGTTACATGGATTACAAAATGTGGGAAAACAGCTTTTTAGAAATAAAATTACTCCAGGAGTATAGTCATTTAGGTAAAAGTGGATATACTGTAATCCATTGCTACTAGAAAAATAAATGCGATTCCGCAAAATAATATTTATTATTCGGTAAAACACTTGACTACTTATAGGTTTTCAACACAAATGACCAAGATTTTGTTGAAAATGTAAAAGCCACAAGACATGTTTTTCCACTCAAATATTGTTCTATACTCGTCCACTGTTCAAAATACTATGCTTACATAAATCAGGGAACAGTGGACACAACGAGAATAGATATTGGATCACTTTGTGTGCAAAAACAAGTCACACGGCTCATGAGATCTTAACGGCATTAATGTCTAAGGATTTCTTCTTCACGGTTTCTGATTCATTAAATTTGTTTCCAATGAAATAAGTGTTTTACATTAGTACACAAGCCAAGAGTAATTTACCGAGAGACAAATGCCAAACGCAAGTTTGTGGATCAGCTTTATCCAAACAGTTCTTCCACAACTTGTCAGGTGAAGAGAAATTTTTAACTTTTTATAAAATATATTTAATGTTTTAATGCCTTTTTTTTAGTACAGTAATGTATACGGTAGAAGTTCACATGTTTTCAATTATACAGATAATTAAAAAAAAAATAAGTTTCCAAACTCCTCAATTATAGAATTAAAATATAACATGGATAGTATGTGCACCACTTACTGGTACACAACACAGATACTTAATGTATATTACGCCTCAGTGCTTGTGTATAATTTCTACCCATTTTATTTATACTGTCAGATTTTCTTACATTTTATGTGGTCGTATATTATTAAATTTATATTTCATATTTTAAAACAATACATAGTTTAGATATTTTAAATACTAATACCTCCGGCTGGCTTGGCATGTGCAACTCCAAAAAATCAAAATGTTACACGGGTTGGGTAAGTGTGCTTCTATTATTATGCTCAGTAATTTCATTTTAGTACAATTAGTGAACTTGGGGAAACTTCATACTGAGAAGCACTGATAGATTCAGTCACATTAAGTTACCCTTTAGACTCCCTAGGAGTTTGATGTTTCTTGTTACTTTTCTTGTGATAATGGTGCTATTCAGACTGACTGGTGCTAAACTTCATCCCAAAAAATTTATATTTCTTTGAACTTTTCAACATTTATGAGGAAATTCTTGTTTATGTTAAATGCACCCAAAGCGCAGCATGTTATTTATAGATGCTTGTGGCTAGAACCACTCGGTACAGGCAAACTAACTGCAACTTTACATTTATTGACAATGAAACACATTATTGACTAACAATTATGCAAATAACATTGGCGATAATTTATTTTAACTGTTAGTTTAGATCAACCGAGTTTTGAAACTTTTATTTTTTAATATATATTTCATACATTTTTTTTAAATTTGCATATTTCAAAATTGCGGAAGAGCTGAGCAATCATGTTTTAAATTACCCCAACTTGATTATGTCATTTTTACTTTCTTAGAAAACATCTTGATGTGTAGTATAACGTGATCAAAAAATGATCATCACTTCATATATTTTATTTGTGAACAAATGTATCTGTCTGTATTTTCTGAGTAATGCCTAAATTATTAAACAACACTTCCTAAATCGTTTTCCAGCTATTTAGTGTAGATTATAGTCTTTTTAAATACAATATTATTTGTCAAAGTGTCTTCAGTTCTGTTTATGTTTTTACTCTAATATTATAACATATATTGTCTTTTAAGGAGCTATCAGACCTCGTTTTTTTGTTGTCGTGTCCTAAAATAAATTTCCAATAAAACGTTGTTAAAACCTATTATTGTATTGTGTATCCGATTGGTTATTCCCCATTTTTAGTCCCAATTTCAGACACAGCCTGAAAAGTGTAGTATAGTTTATTTCCGGTCTCCGTCTGTGAAGTTTCCTTTAAATCTGACATATTTTCAGACATTCCGAAGCAGATATCTATGAAACTTGGCAGGGAGATGAACAAGTCTCTGTTGAATATGCACGTAATGTTTAGTCCCCGTTCGGACGCAGTCCGAAAACGGGGACTTATGTTTTGACCTCCCTGCGTGCGTGCGT